TTTAATAATAGTGGGAAGCGATTATAGGACACCGAAGTTAGGTGATGCGATAGGTAACCATGATACAGGCGATACCGATTATCGTAATTTCTGCCTTGGGGTTCAAACTTACCGGCGACGATGACAGAGGAGCCAGGCCCCCACGCCGAAACTTGCTTTGCCAGCATGCAAAGACATGCATCCTGTAACCAGCAGTTGGAAGGCCAAGCACACTGTTTGGGGATGAGAGCCCTACGGTAGGGCCTAAGCTCTTGCCTCAACCATTGACCAAGGTCTGGATTTGCCGGGTCGCCATGGAAATGGCGAGGTTCTGGGCAAATTGTCTGTCAGCAATGAGTTGAACACCATCCTGGCTTTCACGAGAAGGAGCAGCTTTCTTGATGCGCTTTGGAGGGTACAACTTCTAGGGTGCATGAGGCTGTTGGCCTGCTGGGGTTGGAACAGGGCAGAGCATGGCATTTCGCAGGGCTGGGACTGGGAATTTTGCATCGAAGGTACACATGATCTTCCGATATCTATCCAGCTCAAACTAGGCACTGGCTTCTCCTGTGTGCTCCGTTTCTGGACCGAGAACTTCGGCGGCTTCTGCGTCAATTTTCTGCGGTGTGTACGTGCATACGCATTATATTTATATAAACCTAACGAAAATATGTATACGCATGTATATGTGTATATGTATGCGTGTATATCTATGTGTGTATATATATATATATATGCATCTTACACAGTTCCCATATATATATATATATATGTACCTCCACACACACACATACACACACATACACACCACATAATGCAGATGTGTGTGTATATTTTCTATATATGTATGTATGTCTCTATATATATATATATATGTGATATAGACGGCCTCTCAAATTGCCTGAGCTGCCAAGCCGCATCCTGGCGCGCACTGCGCCGCTTCACCGGAGACGGTGTGCGCGAGGATGCGAAAGCATCCAGCATGGGCGCCTCAGGTTTTAGGTTGTTTGCCACCCGCCTAGCTGACGAAGGTTCAAGGTTTGGGGGTTGCGGTTTGGTTGGATTCCTCATTCTTGGCATCATCTAGGTGGGGAACGATGAGGGGAAACGACAAGATGGAAGCTTCCTGTGTCACTGTGCTGAGGTCGGTTTTCAGAGAAGCAATATTCTTCCAGAATCTCGGAATCTGCTCTCAAGCCCTCAGCTAAACTTAGCAGCTAAACTTCCAAACGGGATAACAAACCTGAAATTGAACTCCCAAAGAATACTGACAACCCTAAATGGGCCGGAAACAAGCTTCTCAAGTCAACACGGGAACCCAAGACCTGTTGAAGTCTCAACCGCCATCGGGTGGCGAGGTCGGGTGCCTCTTCCTTCGGGGCCACGTCAGCACCACTGAAGATTGTGTTGGCCACATCCTTGTTGACGGTTGTTGTTAGGTTGCAACCAAGACTTTGCAGCAAAGATTCGTTGGTAGTGCATGTGGGACATTAGAAGATAGGGGAACACCCTGCCCTCCAACCGGAGGGACAACCGATGTGCAGCTCGCAATTTTCCGACCTGATGAGTTCATACCTGTACCACAGAAAGTCTTCCCTTGATTGTTCAAGCCGCTCCCAGACATAATCTCATGAGCAAACCACACAGCCGGTCCTCTTGGGCCTTGGGGAGGAGATCCAATACGTCTTATGACATACAAGTGTTAAGCGACTTTTTGCTGCAGCTTCTGCAGGTACTCGTAGCCGAAAATGCTACGTTCTCGCCTGGGTCGCCTTGGTGCAATGGCTGGTGTAAGGTTTTTATCTGCTGCTGTGTGCTGTGAGCCCTTGACACTCAAGCCAACCATCCCTGCGGGCTTTTGAAGGTGACAGATCAAGCGTTCAGACTCGTATACTTGGAGGTTCATGGGTAGTTATAAGGGCTATAAGCACGCTAATACATGGGTTATAAGTATGGTTACCCTACTTATACCCCCAGTTATAACTACCCATGAACCTCCAAGCAGGCTTTCGCGCTAGCTACGCTCTCACACTCGGAAGCTGATTTAGGGTTGCTGAGGACTGAAGACTTCTATACCTATAGTCTCCATTGTAGTTCCTTTTGGTTTAACCAAATATATATATATATATATATATATTAACGAGTTTATAAGGTATCCCCAAAAAGGAACTACAATGGAGACTACAGGTAGGAAGCAGCTGAGAGTTCCTCTGCTCCGATGCCTCCAAGGTGCGGTGGCGGGCCTCAGACACAAGGCTTGGGATTGGAGAAAGCTTACATTATCCCGAACCCCGCAGGTACCTACTATATAGGGTTTAGGGGTTTAGGGGCTTAGGGTTTAGGGTTCCGGTAGTTTCCCCTAACCCCCCAGGTACCTACTATATAGGGCCCTAGGGGCTGTAGTGCCCTATATAGTAGGTACCTGGGGGGTTAGGGTATACCATGCACCAGGCAAAATGTGTCGAAGTATAGCACTGCCAAAACCTTTGCGAATCCTACACGCAAGAAACCCTACAGAACTGTTTTTGAGCAGGGGCTGCAGCGCACATTGCCCTGATCCTTCAGGTGCCGCAATGTTCAAAATCCCTAAACCCTGAAAACTCCAAATCCTTAACCCTAAACCGGACACACCAAAATCCAGAAGCACTCAACCCGAAAACCCCAAAACATCCAACATCCTAAACCCCTGACTTCTCTAAATCCAAAACCCTAATTCCCTAAATCCTGAACCCTGCACCCCTGAAAGCCTAAAAACTCCATTTTAGGCGGGGCCGCTGGCGGCTCTCGAGCAAACCGTGGATGCGGGGCGTGCGCGACTTTGGCTTCGCCTCCGCCTCCCAGAACATAAATGATGAACGGTTTAGGGCTTAGGGTTTTTGTGTTGATTTCTACCTAGGGGGTTTAGGGCCGTTTAGTGGTGTAAGGCTTCGGGGTTAAAGTTTACAGAGTTTAGGATTTAGGGGGTTAGGCTTTAGGGATTCCACGTTTAGGATTTGGGGGTTTAGGGTTTAGGGGATTATGTAGAGTTTATGAGGATGTTGTCGTTGTTTGGTTTCGCCTCCTGCCTTGCTAGGCCGAACCTGAATCGGGCTTAGGGTTAAAGGCTTTGGGTTTAGGGCTTGGGGACGTCAAGGGTTTTGACAAGCACTTTATCGGCTTCAGTGAGTCTGCATGGGTCTCAATCACTAGCTAGCACGTTAGAACTGGGTTTGGGGTTGTAGTGTAATGACATAGGGGCGAGGGGGCTCGATCACTAATCATTCAGACCGCTATCCTAATCGTAAAAGGGCTAGTTAGGGGTCATCGCGCCTAGAGTACTATAGGGATTAGAACTTCCAAGATTTACTTGAGGTTTGGGTCTAATTGAAAATTCGGGTTCAGCACTGGTCCAAACTTGGAGCTTAGGGCTTATTAGTGCAGGAGACTTGGCTGTCCTCGTAATAGCCTCATGTGCAACGAAATGTATTCCTCGGTGTCAGCGGATCCACCAGGCTCGGGACAAAACTCAAACCAAGCTCTTTGGCCTATGTGCGACGGATTGTTCAAACTAGCCTCCTCCACAAACTGCAAAACTCCATTTGGAGTCGCTCCACACCCTTTGAAGCCGTTTTCGCCCATCTGCAGAACCAGTATGCGCATCATGAAGCCTAGCTATCATGAGGAACCGCGCAAAGAACAGCATGCGAACGAACAACCAACAGCAATAGTTAGTGACAATAGAGGCAGCTACCGCTGCTGCATATGCTTCTCACTTTCGTCGGCTGCGATACCATCTCGACTAACGACTGCTACTCCTACTGCTGGTACTGCTAATGCTGCTACCGCCGAAGCTACTGCCAGTCCTGCTCCTGCTGCTATAACAACAACAACAACAACAAC